CTCCAAGTCCCTCTTACTGCAGTGCTCCCAAATTTTGGTCAGGAGTCATAGAAGTATTAATAACCTCTTTACGATAAAGTACGCTCTGTGGGTGAAACGCTGACCACTGAGACTGATACAACTCAATTAGTAGCCTTTTTCCTTCACAATCGCTGCCATTTTTTCCGATCCAGTCCCGGCGGAGTTTTTGATTCGTTCGCAAAACGTAGCAATCTGTTCGCCTTCTATGGGCGTTCACTTAGAAGTGGAGCAGGCAGTTCAAGGTGACTCACTGAATAAGATCTTTGACAGCTTTTCCTCCATGAGTACTGAATTTATGGTATGCAAATCTTCTCCACTTGAAGGCGCAGTTCACGAACAAAGGGTCTTGTAAGATTTCCACATAAGGTGGATCTGAGGCTCTTCCTGGTACTATATGTGCCGATGTCAGGTCGAGAAACGTCCTGGATAGGGCCCAATAATGGGCCAGACATTGTATAATGCGAATGCCACACCCACAATAAGCGAGTCCCAGCGGTGTTGTAGAGGTTGTACTATCTCAAGGGACTCCCATTTTGGATGTTCGAACAACTTGTCATGACCCATGGCGACAGTGAAAGGCAGTTTCAGACAATCTTGATGAAGTCAGGTTTTTGCGCAATTGTAACAACTGGAATCTCGTCCGAATACACCTTCCATGCAATTTCCGTCGCGGTAATCTCGTACAACCTCTAATTTCACTAGTTTTGGCAAGTCTTATTTCTCGCGTAGTGGGCTGATTCTCTCACTTTCTTCGCGTCCAATGCACTACTCTACATCAACACCTCCTCTTCTCAACTTAAAATGGGCACCGCAGAATTATCGTGATTTGTGCCTTTAAGCATTTTCTACCTCATGCACCACTGCTATGTAGATCTAAGAGCTAGCAAAACTGGGCCTTGGTGGTTTCATGTATCTGGGGGATATAGAGTTAGGTGGGGTCTGTAAACTCTTGAAAGTGTATTGCTATCGAAATCAAAGCAATGAAATTCAGGAAATATTATACTATTGGGTTGAGTCATAAGTCTTCGGACAAAATGATAGCGATTATTTCTAGAGATCATAACTCGGGAAAGAGGAAACGAAAATGGACGCGCGTGGCATTAGATAGAGTATGAAGAGTTCTTCAGAATACATACCAACAAACACACCTAACCATTTCCTTTCCTGCAACCATGCCCCATGATTTCAAGCCGTCGCAACTCTACCTCCGCAACACCATCCTATTTCTTTTTTATCTGGCCAAGAACCCGCGGAGATCGATAGAGGTATTCAGGAAGTTTACAAGAAAGGTGCTCCTGCTAGATGCACAATTGACAAATGGCACTCGAAGTTCACTTCGGGCGACCATTCCATCGAAGATGAAGACCGTCCGGGACTGTCAATGGAGTTGGATTCGGACGTGCTGTGGAGCCAGGTGGAGGCCGATCCGACTCAAAGTACTCGTACACTGGCAGACACTCTTGGGGAGTCAGCCCACAATTATTCGTGGATTGAAGTCAATCGACAAGGTGCGAAATCTCGGTCGATGGGTGCCTCATGCTCTGAAGCAGTATGACATGGATTTTCGAGCCAACATGGCACTTTCTCTCCTCGCGCTCAAGCGCAGGAAACGGTTACATGTATTCGTTAGTTATTTGGAAGAGCTTTTCATACTCTATCTAACGATGCCTAGCGCGTCCATTTTCGTCATCCCTTTCCTGTGTTATGATCTCTAGAAGTCATCACTATCACATTGTCCGAGGACTTATGACTCAACCTAATAATTTACTCGTTCAATATGTACTAGAACGGTTTACGCACTTGAAATTTTTCAGACGGAGGTGATTCTCTAGTAAAACGTTTCTTTTTACATAAGCCAACGATACATAACAATTTGTTGAATATGAAAAATAGTAGTTAGCGTTGATGTTTTTGTATTTTGATGCTGTGAAGTTATTTTGTAACGAGCCTACCTACGGCGTCGACAACTTACCCACGACTATTCCAGGGACTCGTGCGTCATAAGGAAAACCGATTGCAGATTGCTCGCGCCATTTTCTATTAAAAAACTCTATTCTGTACAAGAACATTACCCTTCGAGCTTCCGGCATTTATGGACAACGCGCTTTCCTTAGACTTGACAGCTTGGTGATTATGCTTCGATGTTTTTGCTCAGCTACCCAAGCATTTAGGGGATTGCAATGAAAACGATTTTGCAGAAAAAAAATTGAAGAAAAAAAACATTCTGTCCAACTTGGTTTTCATTGTTGCTACCGCACTGCTCAACAGTGAAGCCAATCAATTAGAATGTGAAATTATACATTCAGACTAGGCTCACAGAACAACATCTCTTAGTTTACAATCTGAACAAACCAAATTTAATTAGCAGACAGAAGATAACTGATACTGACATTTGGGTGGCTTTCCACCTTCTCCATATGTCTACTTGATCAGAGCTCTCACTGAACTCCCATTGTAGTTCCTTCACCTAATATTCGTTGTCGAAGTGGGGTTGGCAGCGGGAATTCAATTGCCTCTGCAGCTTTATTTTACTACTAAATGATTACCAGTGATTTTCTCTGCTCTTTAACTGGTAGATACCCTTGATGTAGCAGTGTTCTCATCAAAGCGCCAGGCAGAGGGAATTATTGCGTTCTGAAGAACATTCTCTTCCCTTAAATATGAATTATGATAAAATATTCGCTCAAAAAACTTTGTTGAAAGTAGTAAGCACGCACTTTTTTGTCAGGATCTTTTGTAAGGATCTTAGTGGAATATTTATTGGAATAAAGATGCCTATCTACTACTTTCATCTAACAGTTTTCACAATCGACTTCAAAGCAATTAATCGCTTTGTTGCGTCGTGCGTTCGGCGAAAAGGTGACTCTTCTTTCTAAGAACTCATGCTCTCTATATAGCCTTTTTGAGATCATCTTTATTCACTGTGTAACATACCTAAACCGGTAGATTTGGTGTATATTCATAGGTATTTTAGGGTGTTGTTGGCTAGAATTGAACAATATCCATTCCAAATTTCCAGAACCCGAATGTGTAGGTATTCTGCAGAGCCGTTTCACTGATGGACTAACTTTCAATAGCCTTCTCTTCACCCATGAAATGCACGGATAAACTGCTCGCTGAAAGCCGAGCTAATCAGCGGGCGCAGATTTCACATGGTCTTTAGTCGTTGGTTAGTAACAATTGCTATGACGAACTTTCCCATGCCTAAAGTCATGGGACAACTTATTTGATCAGCATGGAAATAAATAAAAGTGGGGAGGTTGGTGACCGAAATCGCTTTTGGGCGATATGGAATTGGGTGGCTTTGGCTTCTGGGTGATCACCTACGCCATTGAATTGAGCAAGTTCACGTTTAACTTTCTGCAGTTTGCTGAGGGATCAACTCATCGACATTAAGCAGAACTATTAGAGTCAAAGGAAGCGGAAAAGATCGGACAAGGAAATACTCTGCGGAATGCTCGCAGTCTCCAACTGTTCTTCACTAAATTCTTGCCGCTCTGACCTTTTCCACATACGCTAATTCTATTAGGTCGTGAAGAAAGTTCTTGCGGTTTTACGCCTCAAACTTCAAATGCATATATCTCGGCTTGAACGAAACTTCAACAATCGAAATAACAACCATTACTATCGACACACTTTTGTTAACGAAAAACAAGTTCGAGTATCCATTCGCATAGAAGTCCGGAAATCTAGAGGCGATGAAATCGTCGAATGCCGCGGCAGCATCATGTTGGGTTTTGAAGCATTTCTCCTTGAGGAAACGTCGAGATGTTTAAAGAAGTGGTAGTCTATGGGAGCAAGGTCTGGGGAATATGGTGGATGCGGGAGGGCTTCATAGCCTAGCTCCATCAATTTTCTCAGGGTAAGTTGTGCGACGTGAGGCCGAGCGTTGTCGTGGAGTAGAATTGGCCCCCTCCTATTCACCAGTGCCGGGCTCATGAGCTGGAGTTTTCGATGCATTTCGTCAATTTCTTGACAGAACTTTTCGGCTGTCACGGTTTCTCCCGGATCCATGAAGCTGTGGTGGACCAGCCCGACTGCAGACCACCAAACAGCACCACGACCTTCTTTCCATGCTGCTTCGGCTTGGGAAAATGTCGTGGGGCTTGATCCTTGTACAGCCACTGGCCTGATCGTCGCCGGTTGTCGTACAGAATCCTCTTCTCATCACACGTCACAATACGGTCTAGAAATGGATTGTTCCTGTTGCGCAGAAGCAAGGCGGAATCGAGCTCGTAGCGGCGGTCTTTCTGGTGCTGAGTCAACTCATGCGGCACCCACTTATCGAGCTTCTTCTACTTCCCGATCTCCTGCATGTAGATGCCAACCGTCCAGCTTTAAACACTCAATCTTGAGCCAATATCCTTCAGCGTTGTACGTGGATTCTCTTCCACTAACGCTCTGAATTGTTCGTTGCCAACGGCCGATGGCCGCCCACTGCGCTCATCATCTTCCAGGCTCTCATCGCCGGTACGGAAGTTTTAAACCACCACTGTGCTGTGCGTTGATTCGTTGCACCTAGGTCCAAGTCATCGTTGATATCCCGGTCCGTTTCCGTCGCACTCCTGCCCAACTTGGATTGGAAAAGAAAAATCATGCGGATCTGTCGTTTGTCCATGCTGATTTCGACCTTCTAAAAAACCCTAGGAACCACTCCAGGGCAAAACCGATTATATATTTGGATAGAGCAAGAAATGCGCTCCAGAATGGTGTAAAACATGCAAGACATCTAATAGCAAATAACATCGCGGCGAGCATTTGAAAATTGGGCGTCAAAAACCGCAAGAACTTTCTTCACGACCTAATACATTACATACGTCTGGAACCGTTATAGTAACAGCTCACCGTATACGATTCTCCTGCATGTCACTACTATCCCTCAAGTCTGGTCACTCTGAAGGATTGACAGAATTACTCTAAGTTTGCTATCACAAGCAAACTTCCGGCAAAAGTGGCGCGGTGATCAGTAAAAAGCGACAATGTGGGAGGTAACCTTACCTACTCGTTCATTATGCTCCACACAATCACGGAAAGGCTTTGGACACGAAGCACCGAGGAGTAGAGCCATCACTAAGCAAATTCACTCACATACGAATAACCTTTCAGCCATATGTAGAGTGAGTATGGAGTATGATCAAAAAGTAACTTAATATTCAAGGGGCCATGAGTTGTATGGTCCAAATTCGATGGACATAATGTCCTACGGGTTAGTAAGTAGTAGTTATTGGGTGTCTCATGAAATTCTGTTTCAGCTTTCCTACTCGTTGGCGTTCTCTTTCGAAGGGTGCAACGCCACTCAATCGTGCTGGTTTCACCCTCCAAATTGTAATGCGAATGAGCGAGGGAAATGCATTTCTGGAGTGCGGTGGTACATGGAACCTGATGGGCTCAGAATTCAGGTATCGAAGAGTTTCATGGAAATTTCTTGAAACTCTTGCAGTTTCTAGGCTCCTAACACACCTCGTTTCAGCTACAAACGCATGTGAACGACCTGGATCCTCATCGCCCAGCCTATGCTGCTCTTGGGTTCAGCTACAACCAGAGGATGGTGAGCATTTGAGTGAAAATCCCAAGAAAAATTGTATTCATGGCTATTATTGCAGGATGACGACACAGTTGTAGAATGTGTTCAACCTCTGCAAGGCCAACCAGGGCAGGTTAGAGTCTCGTTTAACGACGAGACTTTCAACAACGTCCTGCATCAGGTATATTCATAGTACTGCTGTCTCATTATTGTTTTGTTCTGGTAATTTCAAACATTCACTACTGGAACCACTTATATGTCTCGACCCTGTCCTGTCAACGTTCTTTGCTTCCGAGTCTCCCTCCCTCGGTGCGTTTTTTTTTTTGAAAGGGGCAGTCATCATATCCATCGTAATTCATCAGAAGCGTCAGCTTCTAAAAGAAGGGGTGACTGAGGACCCTTGCATTCAACAAGCAAGCCCAAAAAGAATGAAACAACCTTTAAATTAATCCATTCTTCATTTACCCTGTGAAACGAAATAGTAGTGTCTATGCAGTCCGTGATACAGTTAGACTGGCTCGAAGAAGCCACTACACTGGACCTGGGGATTCGTTACAACAATGCCTCCGCATCCCTTTTCATTCGTGACTCGGGCTAGAGTGTTCACATACCCGTTCGTGGTTGGCGACTGGACAGTTTTCGGGCTAGTGGATCCATCATATGGAAGAGATAAGAGTATTTGAACACAAGTTATCACAGCAGTGTTCTCATTGGGATGACCCTAATCCACCATGGAAATTCAGACCTTCCTCTCCACGACTGTAGGCAGCCAGCAATTCCGGTAGACGGATCCGCATCCATACAGAAGTCTATTCCTTAGTGTATAAATGACACGCCGTTGACACAAATGAGGTATCTTGCCCTCTCAACATTCCCCTTACCTATTATCTTGTTTTGAAAGGTTACTTTCCAATTTTCCATGCACCTTCTATCTCGCTGAGCGTAGCGTGATTACTGTAAAAGTAATTGAGTCTGGGGTAATCGTTTCGTTTGTAAACAGGAGTAACGAATTGCTAACATAAGCTCCTCCTTCGAATGAGATATGGCAAGACCGAGTGTGCATTAGGGAAATTAACGTCAACAGAAGCAAAAAAGTAATATCAACAGATGCGTTGAGGCATCAGTAGAGTTTCGGTCACTGATTTGCTATGGGCCATCCGTTACGAATCGATGACTGTCATCGATTATCGTACCCATCCCCTTCAAAAAAGGTGAACAGGAAAAGGAAGAAAGAAGGAAGTTGTTTTAGTCGTTTCCTGATCAGAGCAATGTATGGCGCATTTCCGTTTCTCTTCCGGTCCCCAAAGAATCTGGGCCCCCAATGTGTCGGTTTTTCGGTCAGCTTTGATAATCTTTTACAGGCATCTTCTGTACTGTTAGAAGGCGGCAGTGTGACGATGGAAGACGGGGTGCTAAAATGCGATATGAAGCTGTTGCTTGACAACATTGGACTGGTTTCAAACGATTCCAAGTTCATGGTAACTGCAAAATTTGATTTTGAATTTCTTCAAGTGCTTACAGAGCCTTTTTAGATTCACGATCTCGAAGCTCGCCCATATTACTTACTATTTGCTAGAGGAAACGCTGATCCTTGGAGTGAGCCATGAACATTCTGTACATTTGCATTGCATGATATGACAAAATTTCAGCACTCGAAAAAGACATACACTCCGTAAACGACAACCCACAATTCCCTTGGATGACTGAAGAAATGGTTGGTGCTCTTTATGCTTTTGGTAAAAATGACTTGCTCACAATGCAACAATAATTCTCAGAATTAGTTCGTATTAGAAATGCGACTACGACAAGTACAATGCCGTGGAGTAGGCACGGCTATAATCTGAAATCTAAGACGAATAAAGCTGCTCTGAGACTGGTTTTCAAGATATTGAAAGGTTCCGGGACAACCATACAAATGCTTCTTTATTAATATTGCAGAAAAGAACGCTTTCTATTGAATAATAGTTAGAATCGGGAAGGAATAGACAGGAGTTGCTGCAAAACCAACATTGAATCATTTTTGCGCCACTCTTCAATCGTGACCCTGAGTGTTCATCACTGAGGCGAATTATTAGGTGTGTGCATTAATTTCCACCGCTGAATTCGAAGGGTCGTTGCGCAAACCATGTTAGAGGTTTATCGGTGAAACCTGTCGTATTCTGTAAGGTAGGGTATTGGCTACCTACTTAAGGGCAGACAGATC